CGGGTCCCCAACCTTTCGGACCTCAGGGACCAGTAAATTCATAATTTTAAATCCCACAGACCACTAATATGATTTGCCTAATGATCGGCTGGGTGGGCGTGGCTAGGTGGTCATGTGACTGGGTGGGCATGGCCAATTTGATGTCATTCACATCGAGGAGCGTCTCACTGACCTCTGCTCACCCCTCTGCTGCCAGTCATTCCTTGCCTCCCCATCTGGGCTCCTTAGGGCCCCAACAGGAAGCAGTTGTTGGAGCTAAGCAGCCACCACGAGAAAGAGGTGGCAAAACAGCTGGTTCAGTTCAAATGGGATCTGAGAAGGAGGCTCAGCAGAAGCACCTCACTGAGGACTAGGAGCATAGGCTTTCCAAGCAGAGGGAAGACCTGCGGAGTGCAAGGCCAGGTACCGGCGCCTGGAGGCTCAGAGGGCTGAAATGGTCAGCCAGTTCCAGGCCATGATGCAGTCCCACTGGAACGAGGCCCTCCGGCTCTTCCCTCCAGCCTTTGCCCAAAGCCCCGCACCTGGCGGCTGAAGCAGACCCCGAGTCGGAATTTCTGCCCCCCTCCAACCCGCACAAAAAGACCCCAAAGGGGGAGATTCTCTGCAGCAACACAAATGTTCATTGCACATATCCGGCCCAGGGGCCATCGTTTCAGGACCCCTGATTTAGTGCAATATAAAAAAATGCAAATATTTTTTCTGTGGACCACCAACATTTTCTCGCGGACCACCAGTGGTCCATGGAGCACCAGTTGGTGACCTCTGTTGTATATGATGTTTTTGTTTTAACTTTAAGAGTAAAAGGTTACTATATACCGTAATTGTACTTGTACTGAAGACAGCTGGGTGTCAGTCCTCTCCTTTTTTGTCAGTTTTTAATTCCACCCCCCAATTTTTTATTGCCTCTCCCCAAATTTTTCCCTTTTTGTTATTCTGCATTTTATATTTTTTTGAAATTGAAAACAGTGGATTTTAAAAGAACGGAAAGCAGAAAAGTGTGAAGGAGACTGCAGTGAGTCTGACTCTCATTAAAGCCCCACACTTTCCCCATCCAAGCCCTGTCCAGCCCCACCCTTTCCGGAGTCTATCTGTGGGGAGTTAGTTGAGGGGTCTCTCCCACCCAGGGGGCCAAAGGTAATCTGCCTAGAAGGTATCCTAAGGATGGTTCAGCCCCCCTTCCTCCTCCTCCTCCTCCTCCTCCTCCTCTGGAGTTGCCTTTATCTCTCCCGCTCAGGGTCTGTCCCGGCTTCTTCCCATCTGCCGCCACGACACATGGTGCCAATCAACTGTCCTTCCAGCTTGAAAGGCCGCTGCGACCGGAGGAATTGCTTGCTGACGCATCACTTCTGTTCTTCCCAGAGAATTGTTCCCACCCTGCGCTCCGAATGTGTTGCTGGTGGCCATCCTTGTCTCTCTCCATCCTTGTCCCAGCGGGGAGTGGGGGGGAGCCGCTTGGGCCTGGCCTTCCCTCCGGGTCCCCCGTGGCAGCCTTTGGGGCTGGCCAGAGCTGTAGCATGGCCACCTCTCCCCTCTCCCCCAGACCCCTAATTTTTCTTCCTGGGTTCTAGATGAGCAAAGTCCTTTGTCCCTGCGAAGAGCTTCCCTGCTGCTTCAGGGGAATTCTGGCTCTTCCTTTCGATGCCCCCGGATTCCCTGCTGTCAGGGGTGTGTGTGTGTGTGTGAGAGAGAGAGGGAGGGGGGGGGGGGAGGGGGAGCCCCCCCTCAAGGACGATGATTAAGGCAAGGGGATGGCCTTGAGAAAGGCTGGTCTTCTTGGGGACCTCTGAGGAACATCTAGCAGCATTTTGTGAAAACCCTACTCTGGCCATCAAAGTTTGGGAGGTGCTCTTGGTTGTGATTCTTGGGGAGCTCTTAAGCCCTTGGCTTCCTTTTTCAGTGGGTTGTTGGATGCTGGCTGGCTCTTGTCATTTTCCTCAGAAAATCAGGGCATAATTTTTTTGACTCCTTTGTTCAACGGAATCTATCTCGTTTTTAACACTTCTGTGGAGAACAAATCACATTTTAGGTCATATTTGTGCAGAAATATCGAACGTTCAGAAGGGCTCACAAATTTTTAAGCATCACTGCAAGTTCTGAGACTGGTTTCTCTTTCCACTGGCAAAAGAGTAGGACGCGGGGCCTGCCCCGAGGTCAGCGGTTAGCCAGGGTTAAGCAGAACACCCTCCGAAACGGAGGCACTGAAGCTCCTGTTTCCTAAATCTGGTGTTTTGGACCGTCCTGGGCTGTTCTGGGCAGATGGAAGGTCTGTGTTTCCTTCCTTCTTTTCCAGCAATGGACAGCGGGGCCAGGACCCGGCCGGTGGTCTGCAGGACTCGGGAACCGTTTGGGGAACAGGTGGAAAGTTGCCTTGACTCCAGCTGCAAGGAGGGCGGATCCAGTCCTTCCAATAAAGGAGAACATTTGCTACTCAGGCATGAAACGAGGGTGCTCTCCGAGCTTGGTTGTTTTCTTGCAGACGTTTCGTGACCCAACTAGGTAACATCATCAGCGCTAGAAGTATACAAACAGAAAGCAATCCCCCCTCCCTTCTAGCGCTGATGATGTTACCTAGTTGGGTCATGAAACGTCTGCAAGGAAGCTACCAAGCTCAGAGAGCACCCAGAGTAGAGGGACTGCCAGGGTGCAAGAGAACTTCATGGCCACCTGAGGGGCCACTGCAGTTTGGGACCCACCTTTGATCTCGGGGGGCCCTTTGGCTTGCGCCTCGCCAGGCTGCCCAGCGCAGGCGCTCCGGAGGCTCCTCAGCAGCAGCAGCAGCAGGAGAGGCGCTGAGTTTATGCTCGGAGCCACCTGGATCCAGACTTTTCCTGACCTTTTCCAGAGCACGTTGCAAAAAATGTGCCTTTGTGTGGGAACCAGGAGTTCATTCTTTCTGCTGCTTTATTTTTAACTTCCCTAATAAGGAAGCCTTTATGGCCTTGACACTTAATGGAAAGAAAATGTCCGAGGATGAAAAGAATGCCTTTGCGCCCTTAGCCCTTCAAGTGTCATCTGGGCTTTCGTTCCGCTTCTTAATCAAACCCAGAGCAGGAGGCCTTCCCGGGCCCCAGAAAGTCATCGCCATGCCCGGATCGCGGGTTCCTCCCTCGGAACTCCTGAAATGGACCCCACTCCGTTCCCATCCCTCCGCCCCACCTCCAGATGGTGGAATCTGGGGCCGCCCCCAAGCACCCCTCGAACGGGGGATGGATTCCCAGGAGGATTTTGCCTTTGCAACCCCCTGGGTGCCTGCCTGAAGACTGAAGCCCGTTTCACACCCAGCAGCCCTGGCACTAACCTTTCCGTGCCCTTCCCTGGGCAGCCTGCGATTTTCTGCCCCTCTCTGGCCGGGCAAGGGTGAGGGGGCCGCTCTTTAAAACCAGGATAGGCCTCCCGTGCTCAACAAGGCAGCTTGGCTGCAACACCCGGCTGGATACGCTTGTGGCTCATGGCAGATGGTTTTATTTCGCATAATTCTGTTTTGTTCCCTCTTATGGAGGAGGAACTTCATAATACTGGCTTTAAAATAATCCAGAAAGTCTTTGGCAGAAAGGAACAGGAACGGGAGGGGGGAAGGAGCTATGGGGGTGCCTTTCCAGACACGGTCTGTAAAAACACAGGCCGGCTCTTCCGTTGGTTTCCCAATTCGGTCTGGGGGCACGAGAGGCCCAGGGGCCTGCGGGACCATCCTGGGGACGAAAGCCCAGCCCCTTCTGAATTGCGCCCGCTTCCCTGCCAGATCGCCCAGGTGCAGCTTTCTCTAACTGGGACCCAGCTGGGGAGTGGGATTCGCCTCCCAGAATGCAATGCATCCCCGTGATTTTTCTTAGCGTAAAATCTGGGTAGCCAAACAAGCTTTTATTCCAGTGTATCGAATAAGCCGCCTTCTGATTAACGCCAGTTTGTTGGAAGCCGCTTGTGGAATCGGCCCTAGTAGCCGACTGGGCGGCTGGAGGGGGCCAAGACCATTTTGGCCCTTGCCCTGTATTTGGCATTGGGCCTTTTTAAGTTTATTGGGGGCAGAAATGAACACGGTTTAAAATCTCTCTGACCCGGCTCCTTTGGAGGGAGACAATGCAGGTCGGCCTCGACTTAAGGACAGTTCATTCGGCGACCCTTCTAAGTTACCAGGGCACTGAAAAAAGTGACTTAGGACTGTTTTTCACAGTCGTGACTGTTGCAGCCTCCCCAAGACGCTTGGCAACTGGCTCTTCTGTATGTCCTGGGGTCACGTGACCCCCTTTTGATGACCTTAATGACAAGCAAAGCCCATGTGGCTTGCAATGGGGAAGCCAGGTTCACTTCCCAACCGGGTTACTAACTTCTCAACTGCAGTGACTTACTTCACCATTGTGGCAAGGAAGGTCGTAAAATGGGGTGAAACTCAATTTTGGGCTCAGTTGTGGTGCTACGTTAAGGGCTACCAGTACTGTGGCCCCTGTATCTTGGGCGATGCTCCTGAAGAGAGGGAAAAGGGACAGGCCGGCAGATGGCACGGGTGGGGCCGGGTTTAAGGCTGCCAGTGCCAACCGGGTCTTTTTAAAAATCTCTTGCCGTGCCACCTGCCATGCAGAAATGTCTCTAGACTAACCTCAATTTATGGCCTCCTCCTTGGCTCTTGGTTCCACTTCTCGCCGCTATTGGCTCAGGGATAAAGGGGAAACTGAGTCACTCACATTTGCTGAGTAAACCAAGCAGCCGGCAGTTGAATCTTCACTGGGATTACAGTGAGACCTCAGGTTCATGAGCCTCCTTGTAGTAGACCTTCAACACAACAGTCTTTGGATGTCCTCTCCCCCCCCCCCCCCCCAATTGCAGACAGGTCTGTTGCCTCTGAAGGAGAATGGCTGGCTGGGGAATTCTGGGACTTGAAGTCCACAGGTCTTAAAGCTGCCAAGTTGGGAGTTCCCCGGGTTACTTGATGATTCTGTGTCTTACGTGAACTCAGAGAACAGGTGAATTCAGGGTTTCGGCTGCCTAACGCATCCCACTTTATCCAGGTCTGTCTATGATGGGGCAGAACATGGGCGCTTCATGGAGAAGCTGGACGCTCGCATCCGGAACCACGACCGGGAGATCGAGAAGATGTGCAACTTCCATTACCAGGGCTTTGTGGACTCGATCACGGAGTTCCTGAAGGTCCGGGCAGAGGCCCAGAAGCTCAAGGTAAGGGATAGGGGGTCAGCCGGGGGGGGGGGGGGGGGGGGGGGGGGGGGGGGGCCCCGGGGGGGGGGGGGGAGGCGCGGGGAGCCGGGGGGGGGGAAGGGGACGGTTTCTGAGGGCCACCCTCCACTTTAGCGCTGGTGGGGCTGAGAAGATGGCCAAGCAGCCCTTGAAGAGGCTCAGGAATTCTGGGAGTTGAAAGTCCACAAGTCCTAAAGGGGCCATCGTTGCCCCCCTCGGATCTACATCATCCATCCACCCAAATTGTGCACCCAGCAACTCTGTGTGTGTGTGTGTGTGTGTGTGTGTCACTTCATGGGCTAAAAATAACTCTTAAAAACGCCATGCCTTCCTTTTACAGAATCAAGTCACGGATACGAATCGGAAACTGCAGCTGGAAAGCAAGCAAGTAAGGAAGCCTCGGCTCCTCTCTTCAAAGCCTTTGCGGCAATTTTATTTACAGGCTGTCCTCAGCTTATTACAACAGTAGCCGGGACCAGCATTTCTGTCACAGTACGAAGCCGTGGCCATTCGCCCTTTTCCTCCTGCAGAAGGCCTGCCCTGCAGTTTGCCAGGCAGCTGCTCCCCAGGCTGCTCGTGCCATTCCTTCTCCACATGGCCTGTCCTGTCCTGTCCTTGCGATGCTTTGGGAAGCCCCTGAGATCTTCCTTCGGTCTCACGAGGACAGGCACGCTCCATGGAGGACTGCCGGCCTTCCCTTCTCACAACGCTTACAAAGACCTCAAGGGGGAGGGGAGGTTCTGAAGCTTCGTGAGAACAAGGCATTCGGTTTGGAGAATGGTGCAAAGGATGTTGGGAAGAAGGCCAGGTGCAGCCAGCAGCCCCTCACAGGCGGAAGGACCAGGACCAGGGGGTGCCTCGGCAGCAGCAGAGGAAAACGTCAGGGGCATCCGGGGCAACCGAGTCACTAGTGGGGGCTTGAGGCGGTACTTCTCAGTGGCAGGAGTGGCATCAGGGCTGCTTGAAGGCCTGTGCTACTGCCACGGGCCCTGGGCCCCCAGCCCCAGTCCTGCCACTGCTGAGGGCCCCTGGGTGGAGCGCCACATAGGAGAGGCTGGGGGGAGAGGGGAGTTGAAGGACCCCTGCAGACCTGGGGAAAGGGAGCCGAGGGTCAGGGTGCCAAGTAATAGGGTTGGCAATCCCGATGTCAGCCCTGGTCTGCCCGGGCAGCAGGGAGGCTCAGGGAAGGGGGGGGGGGGGGGGGGGGGGTCCGCAGCGACCATGTCCAAGCCAACCAGGGTTGGCCCCGAGGCTGCCGGCGACGATAAAGCCCCTCTCGTCTCTCTTGCAGCTGGTGGGCGCCATGGAGGAGCTGAGGCAATGCCGGCTGCAGCAGTGGAACATCTCTGCCACGGTGGATAAACTCAGCCAGTGCCTTCCCGGTGAGAGCCCTGCAGAGGAGGACGGGGGCGCCTGGGGCCGCCCGTGTCTTCCTGACCTCTCTGTGTGTTTCCGTTCCTTCTGCTAGTTCTGGAGATGGAGAGCAAGTTAAGGGAGCAGATGAAGTCCAAAAGGTAGGCGTTCCTGGGCGGCCCTGTGATTCAGCCGGGGTCCAAGGAAGGTTCTGGAGGCTGGGCTAGGTTAACCGTGGAGCCATGGTGGCACAGTAGCTAGAATGCAGCATTGCAGGGCTAACTGCCCACTGCCAGGAGTTCGATCCTGACCGGCTCCAGGTTGACTCCTTCCGAGGTGGGTGAAATGAGGAGCCAGAGGGTTGGGGGGGTGGAAAGAGGCTGACTCTGCGAAAGGCCTTAGAAAGGGCTGTCGAGCCCTGTGAAGCGGCATAGAAGCCTCCGTCCACGGCATTTGGGGCTCCCTGGGCTTCACAGCCTCCCTGGCGTTCGTTTCGTGGCTCTGCTCTGCCTCTCCCTCCCTCCACTGACTGTCCTGCCCTTTTCGCTTGTTCTCCTTTTGGAGATTCTGTCCAGATTGCAGCTTTTATTGCTCTATGTTTTTGCACCCATTTTTACCTTTTGTGATCGGTTGGAAAAATGCAGCCCTTTCTCTATTTCTCTGTCCTCCTTCCTCCTTCCTCCCTGCCTCCTGATCCTTTGAGTCTGAGGAGCAGCCGCCCTTTAATACGCAAGAGGAGGAGGGGGGGGGGACATGACAGACTCCTTTTTACAGGGAGTCCTTGACTTACAACAGTTCGTTGGTGACCATTTGAAGTTACACTGGCACTGAAAAAAGTGACTTACAACCGTTTTTCACACTTATGACCGTTGCAGCATCCCCGTGGTCACATGATTGGAATTCAGATGCTTGGCAAGAAGTTCCTATTTATGACGGTTGCAGTGAAGGTCACGTGATCCCCTTTGAGACCTTCTGACTGGCAAAGTCTGTGGGGAAGCCAGATTCATTTTACAACTCTGTTACTAATTTAACAACCACGGTGGTTGACTTAACAACTGTGGCAAGAAAGCTCACTTAACAACAGAAATGTTGCGCTCAATTGTGGTCATAAGTCAAGGACTACCTGTAGTACCTGGTTTGTCATCGTCTTACCAGTGGTGAGACAGTGAGGGCTGGTAAAATCCACTCCCCCCTCGCAGAGTGATTTAAAGAGAAGAGAAAAACTTCAGGGGGTTCCTGGTGTCCCAAAGAGCCTGGGAGCCCTGAGGGCTTGTGGGTGAAGCGAGTCACCTGACCTGCTTCTGAGCAAGGCCCTTCCTTCCTTCCTTCCTTCCTTCCTTCCTTCCTTCCTTCCTTCCTTCCTTCCTTCCTTCCTTCCTTCCTTCCTTCCTTCCTTCCTTCCTTCCTTCCTTCCTTCCAGGCATTATCCCGCCCTGAAGACCTTGGAGCACCTGGAGCGGATGTGCCTGCCCCAAGTCAGCCATTACCACTTCTGCAAGATCATGGTGGAGAACATCCCAAAATTGCGTGAGGAAATCAAGGACGTCTCCATGTCTGACCTGAAAGACTTCCTGGAGAGCATCCGCAAACACTCGGACAAGATTGGGGAGACGGCCATGAAGCAGGTGAGCAGCCAGGTGGGCAGAGAGTCACCCTGCCCTTGCCTTGTCCCAGGCCTTTCCCCCGTGCAGCAGGCCGTGGGAGTGCTCAGGCAGCCGGCCTGAAGTGTCAGCCGCTGAGGACCTGGCCTGCCTGCCCGTGTCTTGGGCCTTGCTCAGAGGCCCGTGGCCAGCCACGGTGGGATGCAGAAGAAGGCTGGACCGGATGGCCTCAGGGATCTCCCTCTGGGGCTGGGAGGACACCCTCATAGCCTTGAACGCTGGGAAACGCAGGTCTGGTTTCTGTTTCCTGGCTTCGGAACATGATTTGTTTATTTTATTTATGAAAACTTACAGGCTGCCCATCTTACCTCAAGGTAACTCTGGGCAGCTTGCAATCATAAAGCGATAAAAACAGCATGAACTAAAAGTGGAGCAGCTTTCATTTCTGACTCCTCTCCCAAAGGGACTGCCAGGCGAAACCTTTTCTTTGCTGCTGCTGGTGATGGCAGGGGCTTAGTATGTTGCTTTAGTCGTTTTTCCTTATGTCACGTACTCATCGCTCGAGTCTCGTTCGCGGTAAAAACAGTTACGTAATGTACAGAAAATGCGCCAGAAGCAGTAAGGCAAGGAATGAGATAAGAAAAAAGAAGACGGGGACACTCCTTACCGTAGCCCTCCGTGCCGCCCTCATCTTGCCATTCATTTAGGCTTCTTTCATCTCCTTGCTCTGCTTTGTGTCTTCTGCCTTCTCTTCTGTGTTCTCTGGAAATGGGTTACTTGCATAACCAGGTTTAGCATCTCGGGTGACTCAGGCTTCTGCCTTTAGAAGATAACCAGCTTAAGTTGCTGTGAGCAGAGTGGAATTTAGATGACAGCCAAGAGACGTCGCCCTGTGCTGCTCTGGAAAAGTTGTTGGTGTGACATTTTGCTCTCCTGCGATGCTTCCCTCGTTTGCTTTGCCCAGGGAGAGGAAAGGAGGATTGGATTGAATGGGAGACGCTCTGGGCTCAGGGCAGGAAGGTTGCTCCTCTCCACACCCGGAGGCTGAGAAGGGCCAAGCGTGGTCTGTTAAAAGGGGGGTGGGGGAAAAGGATGGTGGTCTTAATCTGCAGGGAGTTTAAACTGAAGGGAGTCGGCTGCTTTGAACGGCTTCCCTCTTTAGGAAAGGACGAGGCTTCTCCTGCACGGCCCTCTCTGGGCAGCTCCAGCCACAGTGGCCGGAACAGGGCTCCCCAACCCTTCAGAAGCGCTCCATACAAGCGGTGGGCGAGGGGGCGCTGCCCGCACCAGTGGAGCTTCATGTGTGTGCATGAGTGCCCGCTGGTCATGTAAACAGAGCTGCACGCGTGAGCGCTTGCTGCTGACACGGAACCATTTCCTCCCTCCCCCACCCCCTGGCCGTTTGGGGACCCCATATGAATGTGGGTCAGGAGGAGGGGAAGGGGAGAATATTGGGGGGCTGTGGGGGTTGTGGGGAGGCAGCCCCCTTTAAGCCTGCAGAGCTGGGGAAGGCGCCCAGTGGAATCCACAGGAGAAGATGGAGCTGCCCCCCCCCCCACTTTGAGGCTCTGGGTCTGTGTGGCATGTGGACGTGTGTGTGTGTGTGTGTGTGTTTCTTGGAAAGAGCTTCCCTCCCACCGTATACGTGGGCTGCATTCAGTCGCAGGGAGGGTGTCCCGGGAAGGTCCCTGGCAGTCGAAGGGGGCAGTTACACCAGGTTGCAGTGCACGGAGGGAGAAGTGGCAGCCGCCTCCTCCGGTCCGTCCCCCCCGGTTGTCATCAGACGAAGGGACCCGACCGGCCCTCCCTGTCAGCGGCAGCCCTGGTGGTCCTTAAGCTCCCTCTAAACCAATAAAGGAGGGGGGGGCACTTGGAGGCCTCGGGTTGGAACTCGGCTTCATTGAAACCATCCAGATCTACCTGATGTGAGCAGTTAAGAAGCCGGGGTTGTTTACAGAAATGCTGGGCTGTTGGCAAAGGCAGGGAGCCTATTCCTGGAGAGGTTGCAGTCCTCTCCTCCTGGGAAGCGCTGACGGCTTTCGCTTGCCTGCTGGTGCCCGGCTGGCGGGGAGCGTCTCTCTTCACGGCAAAGGCAGCAGCCCTGGCCCAGCTCAGGCTGTTCGCCCATCCCGGCCCTCTTTGCCTTCTGGGGTCTCCCATTAGCCATTTGGGCCACTGAGGAATTGGCTGAACAAGCCTCTAAGCACCCATTGCCCTCAGGAGGCCTTCTCTCTCCCTGGCCTGGAGCAGCCCAAGCGAAGGGAGGGCCCCACTGCCCTTCTTTGGCTGGCTCTTGGAGCAGTGCAGCATGGGCCAAGACATCCTTCCCTCCCTCCCTCCCTCCCTTCCTTCCCCCAACAACTCTGGGCTTGGCTGCTATAAGTGAGTCTTATTTCCTCTGCTTTTGCCCCCCCCCCGGCCATTCTTTTCTCAGGTGCCCCCTCTCTTTCCTTTTTATCAATGGAGGGCGGGGCTTTTGCCTTGGGCCACGGACTCTGTTCATTATGCTGCTCTTTGCGGCTAGGTCAGAGGTGGGGGATTCCTGACTTGCCCCCCCCCTCCTCCCCCCAGCAGGCAGGTAATAAAAAGCAGGGCCCTCTAATCCTTTCCTTCCCAAGAGAAGGCTGCACACACGCAGGGCCTTCTCCCAGGGCGACACCGTCTCTTCCACCCATCCCCTGAAGCTGCCTGGGAAGCCCCCTTGGGCTGCCGATGGGGCTTTCTCCTCTCTGGATTGACCTTGGCTTGATTAACCCTGCCCAGCTGACCTTTTTCCTTCTTTTGGCTTCAGGCCTTGCTCTTCAGCTCTTGATGGGTGTGAAAGGGAAGAGCAAGGAGGCGAGCATCCTTTCTGATGTTGATGGCAGTTCATTCAGGGTCTTTAAACAGAGTCTTCCGGCGGAGGATAATAACTTGAAAGTAAAAATCAATCTTTGCTGGGAGCAGCAAAAAGAAATCTGCCTGTCCTTCCAGAATGGAAGAGGCCACAGAAATGCCAGGCTCCCCTTTGCTGCCCCCCCTCCTCCCACCGCTCAGCTGCCCACGGTTCTCTCTGCTCTCCCCTCCTCTCTTCCCTGCTCAGGAAATTCCTCCTGCTTCTTAGGGGAGCCTTTCTGGGTCTATGGGTGACGCTCCTGGGAAGAGGGTCCAAATTCCGTCCTTAGATATTGTAACTCAGGCTTTTGAGCCCTTCTTCACCTCTAAACGTCCCCCGAGGCCCACTGCAGCCGGCCTGGGAGGCTCTGGCCCTCCAGATCTCTTGCCACCCTAAAGCTCCCCAGGCCTCTCTGCCTTCCTCTGGGGTTGACTCTGTTGCGCTGGTACTTTGGGTTGGTCTTTGCAAATCAGCCGGGGGTGTCATCGCCTGCAAGTTGCCCTGCCCAGGCCAGAGGTCCCGTTTCCCCACCTCTCCGTCAATCAGAGCCAGCGTCTCGGTCGGCCGCATGCAACTGCACGGGGCCTGTGGAATTCCTCTGACGGCTGAACTGCACGGGCTCTGCTCCCCCCTCGCTCTGTTTATCCCCAGCTGCTTTGGGCCAAGAGTTTTCGAGGGTCTTTCCTTTTTAGCGGCCTCATCTGTGTCAGGGAAAAAAATGGAAATCTTGCTTGATCTGGACAGGGGGGGAAAAAAAGGAGAGTGATCTTGTGCAGGCCCTCCAGAAGAATTTGGCTAGGATGGGGAGAGAGGCAGTTTCTCCTGTTCTGGATGGAACGTTTCCTGCAGAAACGCTCCATGGCTGCCCTCCTTGCCATGGGGTCACCCCGTTCCGGCTGCTGTTGGCACCAGTCGAGGGCCGACAGAGGGTTAGGCGGCCTTTGCTGACTCTCTGCCGGCTGCACAGAAGGAGGAGGGGGGAGGGGGGGAACAGGCCATTTCACGCCCTACTTGGACTCCGTTCTTCACGTCTTGTTGAAATAACATTTATTCCTTTCCTATATCGGCTGCCCATCTCACAGTCCGGCGACTATTTTCCTCTGGGACCCAGTATGTGAGCCCACAAAACACTTCTCAACAGGTCGTTATTTCTGCCTTATTTGTTGGGAGAAAGGAAACTGGAATGTAATTTAGGAATTAAAAAATATTTAAACAATAGCAGTGACGGACCCCCAAAGGGTCTGAGACGCATTGATGGGTTTGCTCAGCCAAACAGGGTGGCCTGGGCTTTGCCGTTGGGCTCGGAGTGGAGCTTTTAGGCTTTTAAGGCTTTTAACAGGCGTCCCAGAAGAGACTGGGCAGCCATTAGTCCGGAATGGGATTGAGCAGGGGGTTGGACTAGAAGACCTCCGAGTCCCCTTCCAATTCTGTTATCCTGTTATGTTTCTGCCACGATGCACTTGAATTCGTAGTTTTGCTTTGGGTCGTGTTTGGCGTGAGATTTCTCCAAAGGACAAAGACAAGATTTCTCATTTCCTCTTCCTAGAGACACCCACCCCCTTTTCCTCCACGAGGTTCGGAACTTCCCTCCTTTTCCCTTCTGAACCCCCTGTGCTTGTTCCCTGCTTTCCTAATACTTCAGAGCAGCTCCGAAACTTTGTTTGCTTGGACTCCTCAAGACGCCCCCGACAGCTAAAAGCTTCCATTGGAGAGGAACCTGTGTGGCTCAGGCTGAACTGTGGGGTCCTTGGGGCTTTCAGGGACGGGTGGTTTCCTTACAGATGTTTCATGGCCCAAACTAGGGAATATCATCAGGGTACTTCAAGGGAGGAGGGGTTTGCTCAGGTTTTGGGGAAAAGGTCTCTGAACAAAGTCCATCTCTCCTTCTCGTCGCACATCCCATTGATGCTGATCCTTGTCCAGAGTAGTCTAATTAGGAGGGATGTTAGAAAGAAACTAAGAGCAAACCCTTCTCCCTTCTACCGTAGCACTGATGATGTTATCTAGTTGGGTAATGAAATGTCTGCAAGAAAACAATTGGGCTCAGAGGGTACCAAGGATCCCACAGTCTTTTTCCTTTCCTCCTCCTCCTCCTCCCTCTTCCTCCTCTTCCTTCTCCTCCCCCTTCCTCTCCTTCTCCTCCCCCGTT